TTTCCCTTTCCTTCTTCCTCTGTAATTGCACTTCACATGGAACGAGTTTGCGTTCATAGTTTGTGTTTATTCACTCACACAGGAAAGCAACCGCTTTAGGTACTGTGCAACAGGTTATTAATGATATATTTGACTAGTTTACCAATAAAATATGTTGGAATCAAGCTGGCAGAGCTATAATATGTACAAAGACAAAGTAAAATCTCAAGTAAAATATGACTGAAAGTTGTTGGGGTTTTTTTGTGGGGTTTGGGGTTTTTTTGGGAGGAGAGTTTTGTTCTGTTTTTTTTCCCTAGAAAATATTTACCCGCTCTCTTCTCTGCTTTTCTGTATAGATAGTAATTGTCCAGTTTGGAGGAAAACCATTTAGCTGTTCTCCCCTGCAGCTTGACCAGTGGATGTGGTGTGTATTTATTGGATTAGGAGAACTTGTATGGGGTCAGGTAAGCATTCAGGAATATGCAGATTTCTTTCTTATATTTTTATAACCCAATCAAAGGTGTGATGATGTTCAGAATCCTACTGCATTGTCGTTTCCTTGATCTCTCACAATGTCATGTTTAGCACACATTGAAATACAGGCTGCTCTCTAAGTACTTCAAGAATAGATACGGTAGTAAGGATAACTTATCCCATTGTTCCTTTTTTGTTAATTTTCATATGTTTCTTTCCCCTAAGCAGGACGTGCTATCACCAAGGTCGTCTTCCGTTAGGCTTTTTCATGAAAGACATTTAATTCATAACCTAGTCCTCTAGTTACACGGAACGTATAGTAAGGGCAAACTCCCTTCCTTGTGACAGGATACCCGATGTAGCATGTGTATGTTCCGCCATGGCATGTTTTTGAAAGTGAAAAGAAGTTCCAGTCCTATGTCAAGTCGCTCATTCCCTCGCTGAAACTGCCGTTGTGTCAACCCACAGTAGCTTTGTTACTGACACAGGACTACGTCCAGTGCGTTTAACATACACCCAGAGGGATCCTCCATCCATCTACTTCCATGTGCGAAGGATGGAAGAGGGGATGAACGAAAAAGGGTTTTTTTGGTGTAATAGTTGCAGAAAAGTGCAGTTCAATTAATTTTAAAATTCTGCTACAACCTGTGTCATCATTAGCTAATATAAAATTATATAGAGATCTAACGTCAAGTGTCAACAAGATAACTAAAGTTATGTGATTTTCTGTCGGGAAGTAACAATACAGATACAATCGTTACTGTTAAAATACGACATCACCCTTCTATGTACAAACACATATTGCAAAGTTAATAATGATGTTAATTTTTTTCAACCTTGAATTCATTATTAATGTATTTAAGTTGATGCCACCTGACACTGTAAAAAAAAAAGCGTGAAAAATGTGAAGTTACATTTTGCCTCTCAGATGTAAAGATACATATAGATCAGCTAGTGTATCATTATGAAGAAACAGGCAAGAAATTGCCAACTGCAATTGAATACCGGAATGGTTCTGATGGAATTGTAAGGAACAGATGCCAGCTTTCAAAATGGATTACTTGTTCTCTTATGGAAAAAAAAACAACCCACATTTTGGACAGTTAGGCCTTAGATTTTTTTTGAAGAAACAAGCTCAGAGTCATGACAGCTTTTAATCCATATGTTGCTGAAAACCACCGCTATTAAATTGTTCTAATGTAATTATTACTTGAAGATGAGATTTGATTTATGACCTTGCAGGGGGAAATCCTAAAATCAGTTTGATAATTCTTGGAAAGAAAAGATTTGTTTTCAGCTGACTGGAGAATACCAACTTTGGGAGGATGGAAGAAAAGCAGGGAAAGGGAAGAAAATCCTAGCTGCTTTATGATATCATTCAGCTGTGAAGAATTTCCCAAAGCCTTTGATTAATGTATTATTTGGCTTCTAAATTTTGTTGTATGTGGTTATTACGTAACCACTGAAAACTACCAGCATCTGTTTTCAATTTAAAGATGGGCATAGTTGCCAAAACCTTATTGTGAGAGTCTAGCCTTTAAATTAAAACTGGTATTGCAATACCTGAACAATTTTATCACTGAAAAGACTACAATTTTACATAAAGCAAATTCAGAGGGAGAAAATTCTTCTCTGGTGGTCAGTATGTAGTCTCCACAAAAGAAAAACACAGGCAAAAAAAAAAAAAGAGCATAATTTACGTATTTATATGATTTACAGTCTGTGGCAAGTCCTCTCTTCATGGAGCTCTACAGTACGAGAGATTTCTTGTCCTTTAGAAGAGGTGCATCTCTTCCTTCTCGGTGTTGTCTCCTGCTATGACTAATTCTAGTTCAGCACAAAACAAATTTGTTATCCCTTTGTTCTATCGGTCTCCTGAACCTGCTGTTCTTGTGAACCACTCAAACCAATCAAGATTTTCAAGTTTAGATGTTAAAGTTGGCACTTTTAAAAGTGATTTAAGGTGTAATTTCTAGGAAGCCAATCTCAGATGTCTTGAGGGCCAGTTTTCTAAAAGGTGGCCCTCATCACTTCTGAGAACCAAGTCTTTCTAATATATTTCATGTTACGTTCCCAGAATTATTAATCACTTTTGAAAACTGCAATAATTTTCCTGGGAATAGTATTGAGTTCCTTAATCTACGTCCAGTCTATCGAGTCTGCCATTACCTGAACTGGGAAAACGAGCAAACAAAACGACATGTAAACACCCAAAGAAAAGAAATAGAGCAGAATCTATCAGCCTGTCTGAGAGAGGTCACACAGAATCACTACCAAATACAGTTGTTTCTATGTATACTGTCTTGCAAGTACTTCATCACTATCAGTTTCATCAGATTCCAAACAATCTTAAGTAGTTTCTTTCTGTAGAGTGCTGGCATTATAGTGTTTTGAAAGCTGGGAAGCTGAAGGAGTTTCAGTAAGTATTTAAATGACTAGCACTTACCTTTTATTTTTTTTTTCCTGTTCTGTCTTTGTTCTTGTCACACCTTAATTTTCCAAGTTTACATCTTGTTTTTCAAGCCTTAAAATGCATTTAAAAAAAGTTCTGTAGTAGTGTGGAAACTGGGTTTTTTTGAAATTTATCTGTCTTTAAAAATAATGTAATAAAAGTAGAGTTGTGGCTCGTGAAGTTCGAGACCCTCAGCAGAGTTTATTTTCATCCTGAAAATATTTGGTGCCTTTTCATGTGTCTTCACTATATCCATTCCAGTTTTCCAGACTGTAAGGTATATCGTCACCAACTTTCCTGCAGCTGATTCTGTCTCCATCTTACACACATTTGGGCTTCAGAGATGTGATTGCTAACTTCTGAAACAAAGACAAACAAAAAAGAAAATTACAGAATTTTTTGCTAAATGGATCTAATAGTTAACCTTGTAGGAAAATTTCTTTTGAGCATTCAATATGTTTCAGATAACGTCTTGTTTAAATAGCCATCTGCTCATAGTTTTATTCAAGCTGACAAAAGAAATCAGAACAAAGAGGAAATGACTGCCCAAGAAAGTAACACTGAAATATATTTAAAATAATTATGTTCTAATATTGTCTAACTAGAGTATTCGCAAATTTTTAAGATTACTAGCCGTCTCCTTTATTAAGTACTTCCAAGGACCACTTTGGGGGACAAACAATAAGAAGAGAGGTTGAATTAATCAGAATTTATTAGTAATAAGGACACAGAGTACGAGATGGCCCTATAAGGAGTCCAGCAGGGAGACAGTCAAACCCACACCTTTCAGAAACCTCATTTTTGATAAATGCTGAGAAAAGCATTTCAACTTACTGAAACAGAGGGAAGATGAAAGTGTGAGCCAAGGTACTGTGAGAACATTTATAAGCATGAGATGCAACTAATTTTCAGCTTGCATTAGCATATGGTAGATTATTATCAGTCATGAGAAATACCCAGACTCTTAACTGCAGAAATATCAATCTTGCTACGTTTTTAAGTAATTACATTCAAATACTTACATCCTCTTTTAGTTTTTTGAGAAAGGACAACGTTTTTCCCAGGCTTAAAATCGCGCCATAGCTGTGTATTGCCAATGTGGTTTAATGATGCAAGTAATGCTAATTATTTACACAGTAAACTAACTATTTTTTGGACTAAAATGGAGTTGTATAAGCATAAAGTAATAGTATGAATATGCTTATCTTAGCTTTCCTGAAAAAGTATAGATCTCATTAAAATATCAGTGTTCTTTTGTAATTAGCAGATTATTATACTATTGTTATTGAATGAGGTTTATGTTTTCAGTACTTTTTTATAATTTTAGGTCATTGCAACCATCCCAACAAGTAGGCTAAAGTTTTTAAAGGAGGCAGGGAGGCTCACTGAGAAGGAGGAAGTCCCTGAAGAAGAACTCAATGAAGATGTTGAAGAAATTGATCATGCAGAGAGAGAACTTCGACGTGGACAAATTCTCTGGTTCAGAGGGCTCAACAGAATCCAAACCCAGGTATGCTAACAGTTAATGCCCACATGGTCTAGGAAAAAAAAAAAGCTTAATCTTTGATCAAGGCAAGATAATATTATAAGGAAAGCCACAGTGTTTGTGTGTGTGAATGATGGTACTTGCTAATTGCTTTGCTGTTTTCAAAGGAGAAACACGTGAAAAAGTAAAATAGGTGAACTGAACAAAGATGTGTAGAGCAGAAGGGATAAAGTTAAGTGATTATAAAATGATAATATGCAAAAATAGGACTACTTTTTTGAGACTACAGTGGATGGACATTCTGTGACGAAAACTCATAGTGCTGTTTGGAAAATGCTAGCTGTGACAAGGGCTAACTAAATGTTATGAAGGCTTTCTAGAACATAGTGGTTTATTTTGTCTAAAATATATCATTGTTGCCACTTCTGCATTAACAATAATTTAAATTGTTTAGTCTAAAGTACCATTTGATTAAAAAAAAAATATTTCTGTTCTGGCACTACCATATATATATATTTTTATATATATCATGATTAAAAGGAATTTATTTTCTTTCCTATTATGTAATGAAAAATGTAGTTCTGGATTTACTTTTAGTAGTAACGGCCTAAACACCCATTAAATATTGAAATGTATGTGTTGGCTACTATGGATGATTTCTTAGTAATATCTTTTTATTTTAAAAAACCCCAACATTTGCTAAATATAAAAACCCATGGCATGTTTTAATATACTAAATATTTGTACTGAATCATGGTGCTAAATGTATTATCGATTAGGACATCTAGTAAAGTTTGTCTTGTAGTGCTAAAAAAATTCTTTGCACTTTTTCACCTTTTTCATTGCAGTGAAGTAGCATGTTTTATAGCATCCTAGTGCTCTCTACTTGATCTTTCTAAGATCAAGTTTTTGTGCCAGCTTGCAGAAGAGAGCAGCTCTGAAAGACAGATGTGTACTTACCATATGAGATGTGAATGTTTTACATGGTGCTTACAAGAAAAAGAGGTGAATAATTAAGAAACATTTTTTTTTTAAAGAATCTTTTAAATTTTTTTTTTTTTTTCTCGGAAAATTTTGATTTTTTAATTTCATTCAAGATAAAAAGTGCTTTCTGCTTTTCACCATCTACAAATTGATACATTTCTTTCTGGAAAAAGAGATGCAGCCATGCATTTTAGAAAAAATGGGAGAAAGTGGTTTAACTGAAACTAGAACAGTCAGGCCTCTTTAGTGCATCTGCAGAGCAAAAGAGAGAGAGGGTGGAAACTGCCATTAGAGAGATGAAGGGTTTGGGTAAATTCCCAAGGTTCTGTGGTAAGTAATTAAATACGGATCTTCAGCTTTGGGGTTGCGTGTCTTGACTCGGTTGAGTCAGGAGCACTCATCATTAGAGAAAATTCAAATAGTCACAGTATAAAGGTGACAAACAGATGCCCAGGTAATGGTGATCTTTCTGAAAAGATGACCTCTAAATGTGCATTCTTTCCTTCCTGATGGCGATAGGAGGAGTGTTGTCTGTTGGCATTTCTGTCAGGATGTCTTTCTGGTTGTGGTGAGTGTAAACAACAAGCACAAAAAAGCAAATTACATCCTTTCAGTTCTTTTTCTAGTCTGAGAGGTAGCTTTTAGTTCCTTAGCGTATCTTTGTCCACTTAATTCACAAATAAATTATTATTCTTTTACACTATTTAAACCAAAATGAACCTTAATTATATTTCTTTGCTAACATCCATCTTCTTAGTTTCCTTTCTGCTCTTAGTTGTAGAAATATCTTCGGTAGGATGTATTGTTTCTCTCCTGCCAAGAGGCGCCTCTGATTTTTTTCTCATTTTATTTATTCAGTGACTTTGATTTTTACATCCATTTCACATCTGTGGAATGATAATGAAAAAAGGAAATGGGCCAACAAATTCAAAAAGAGTTCCAAGGTGTCCACTGGAGAGGGATGAACGTACATGCAGGCCAAATTAGATCCATTGTTGGATGGACCTTGAGTTGAGTGCATTTTGATGCACTATGTGTTGTGGCCCATCCAGATGAATTCATACACTTGTACTACATTTCTCAGGAAGCCAGCTAAAGAAGAGTTGATGGAAGAAGATGAGGATGTCTGTAGCATCCTTGGGGAGCTGGAGGATTTGCAAGAATCCTCTGATGTCTAATGCACTTCTGGAGATGCGGAAGAAGAAGGTAGAGCATCCCCTCACTTTATATATATAAGAGGATGACAGTAAGATCAGGAATAAACTCTAGACTCTCTCACGACTAGATTGACCATTCAAATCCTAACAAGACCAGTTTCCACCATCATACGCTTGTGCTGTATATTAGATTATCTTTATTTTTGCTTATTTTCTATTCAGTCATTATTGGACAGATAGCTACAGCATTCAACAAAAGCCTTCACTCCTAGAACAGTTATAAAGAATCTATGATAGTTTTGGGTTTTTTGTTTTTCAGATGACAGATATCCCCCTTGTAATGCTCCAATAAAAGCTCATCCAAACTAACAAAAACTTTGCGTTACTAAAGACATTTTTTTCTTTTTCACACCCTTTCTCAAGACAGAGGGTTCCAACCTAGACATCAGAAAAAGAATTTCCACCGTTGATTCTTCATATTGAAATGTCAGATGTATTTCTATGAAGACATGCATGAATTTGCTGTAAAGAAAGGTGTATGAAAAAAGCACATAACTACGTCAAAGAGACTGTCTATTTCTGATTTTCTTTTTTTTTTTTTTGTCTGCTTTTGTTCATTTAGCTATTTTGTTGTCTTATAAATGTGCTGTAGGGCTTCTCTGGATGGATGCGTGTTCTTCTCCTCTGAATGGAGGAGTGCTTCCTTACTAGAAGACCACTGACCTATGAAGTTTCACAAATGACTCATCCTAGTTATGCAAGTTATAAAGATATAAAAGTGGTCCTGAATTGCATAAAAGACAGGACTTTTCAATCTCTGCTAGTTTTCAGCAGTTTTTTTCAAGTCTTTGTTGTAGTTCTCAAAAATTCTTCATTCTGAAGGAATAACAGAGTTGAGACAAGACTGATCATACCATCTTGGCAGATCTAATAGCCTTTGAAAAGTTCAGCAAGTTCACCTTCAGGTAGAAAAATTGTGAAGTGTGGAGAATGGAAAACTTTTCTAGCTATGTGTCAGATTTTTAAAACCCCAGGCCTGATTCTTTCCTCCTCTGCTTCATTCATCCTGTAATTCAGTTTGTTCTGTCTGCTTAAGGTGGGAAATAACTGTCTAGAAATGTTTTGAGAATAAAAGCAAAAACTGAAAAACTACAGGTGCCATGTTGCCTGCTACTGAAAGAAAAAAAAAAAAGATTACTCCTCTTTAGATACTATAGTTACATAGAGGTGCTGTACTACATTTTCTTTCCCTTCCTTTCTGCATTAAGATTTTTCTCTTAAACCACTGCAAACCCTATAGCAATGAAAATCACTCCCTGACAAGTGGTTCTGAAGTTAGATAAAAGACTAGGACCTCATTTTATGGCTTTCCATAGAGCTTTTAATACAGAAAACATTGCAGTAGCCCAGTGTAAAGGGAATGGAAACTGTTTGATTTCATGAAAAAAAGTTTGGGTTTTTTTTAAAACAATATCCTGGTTGGAGATTAGGTGAATGATACCTGGGTCCTGTTAATATTAATGGCAACAGAAATGCTTGCTGAAAATCTGTTCTGTGTTAAACATTAGAAAAACATTTGTTCTGCCGTGTCCATTCTGCTAGTACCTGATCCTTTTTTTTTTAACTACTCATCACGGATATTTTTATTAGCTGTGCATACCTCAAAAATATGGATCCTTTAGAATATAGACCATTCGGAAAAATAAGATGGAGGTGAAAAATACCAACCTTACAAATCAGCTTCAAATGTAGGACAGTATTTTTTTTCTCTACCTGAAGGCCTATACTCAAAACATGATGGCATCCTATATTTTGTTGGCAATTTTTCAAACTTTTCATGATATGTGACTTAGCATTTACTTTCTCCTTTTCAGCAACTTGAATTTTCTAAATAAATACATTCTTTTGTAATTAAAAAATTACATCTTAATTTTAAATATATTATTCATTCATTCATTTATTTCTATGAACTCACTCTTCTGTGTTGTTTTGTGGTTTTGAAAGATAAGCTTTTGGGCAAAAAAAAAAGCCCCAAAAAGAAGCAGCTCCTCTTCTTTCTTGGCTTCAGGCAGAGCACAGCCCTGTATGTTCAGCTTTTAAGTTTCTGAAATGGTAGTCATTAGTCATCCTCCCTCTATGAAATAGATCCCTGAAGATCTGTAGTTACTTTCTTCAGGAGAGCGAGTAAATTACATGCCTGTAATTCTTGTTCTGTGGAGAAACTATTAAATACAGATCTTTCCCCATCTTTTCGCTCTTATTCTAGGGTCTTACCTTTCAGTTTATTAGGAACACACTGATGTGTCTAGAAATGCCCTTTGGCTCAGGATTTATCGTCTGTGTCTTCCATAGTGATACGCACTTCATGCTCAGTATGAGTCTTTAAAATCTTTTTTGAATGGTTTCTTTTGAAGAGTGCTCTGTCACCTGTGTTAGATCATGAAAACCCAAGATCTGTATTTAATTCTGCTTTTGTACAGTGAACATTTCAGGTGAGTATTTAATATGCCTTCACACATAAGCAGTGGTTTGAGCCATATGTTTTTTTTCTAGACGCCAATGCGAACCTTAGCTAATGATTCACTTGTACCCTATTCTATATGCTGCCTCATGTTGTATTTTTTTACTGTGATACTTGCATTGGACGTGTAATTCAAAATAAGTCTGCTGCAAAAGCACTGAGAGCAAAGCTGTAACATGTTGCAATGACTGCTTACTGCTGTACATCTATTAGTGTGCTCGTTTTAATGGATGTTGTAACCAGGACTCTCGTTGGTAAAGAGTGGGCCAGTGAACAAATCAGCTGTTTCGTGTTCGTGTAGTAGAAGTTTAGTGTGACAATTTTACAGCAGTAATCTTTGATCCCTTTTACAGCTGGCTGTG